CCCCCCCCCCCCCCCCCCCCCCCCCCCCCCCCCCCCCCCCCCCCCCCCCTCCCCGCCCCCCCCCCCCCCCCCCCCCCCCCCACACCCCCCCCCCCCCCCCCCCCCCCCCGGGGGCGAGGCTGTCTCCAGGAAAGTACGTACGTACGTACACGTATGACGACTCGTCCCTTTTTCCTTTTTTTCGGCTCCCCACTGTTCGATTCCGGGGGTGGGGGGGGGGGGCCTAGGCTGTGGGGTTTTTATATTGGGCGGTGGGGTCTAATGTATGTATGTGTGTATGCATACCCCGCTCGGTGTGTGCGCGTTGGGGCGTGCGTAGGTGGGTAGGCTTTAGGGGGTGACGTTTTGGTTTTATCTTCACGTCGACGATGCTGGGCTGTGGTCACGTGATCTGGGAGGGTGGGGCGTGGAGGTTGTTTGGTGTTTGGTGTTTGGAGGGGTGATGGGGGTGTTTGAGATGGGGAGTCAGTAAGATATAATGGAATAAAATAAATACATAAACCTCTTTTGGGGGAGGAGGATGAGGGTTAGGGTTGATCTTTATTTAGATCGGATCGAGATTCTGGTTGGCTGGTCGGTTCGCGATGGGTTGATGAGGGGGCATAAGCGATGTGTGGAAAGCGAAAAGGTTTCGTGGTGTAGTGGTTATCACATTCCCTTTACATTAAGAGTTGCGGGAAAGGTCGCCGGTTCGATCCCGGCCGAAATCATGAAAGATTGGGTCTATTTTTTTTAATCACCCCAACGGGGTACGGTATGCGGGCTCGTATATCTTTATCTTGCCCCCTCGGCCTTTAATCGGGCTTTTTTCTCCTTCCTGTGGACCGTTTTGAAGGGATAGTGGACATGGCCAATTTAGGTTATTTTTTTCCTTTTGGAGAGGATATTTTTTACTTGGTTAGGTTGAATTTCTAACTTTTTCTTTTTGGGGGCATTGCCCTTGGCTTCATTTGAGGATATTTACGGGGTTTGTCCTGGAAAATTGCCTGTTCCTTGTGGCTACAGCCACAGAGGCACAACGGCAGCAGGCAGGATCGGTGGAGGCCCTCAACCGCGCCACACGCGTTGCGTTTGCGTTTAATGCATCCGCGCTCGCTCATTCGCTGGAGAATTCGGGATCCGAGCCTCTCATGGTCCTCCAACGGGGTCGGACGGGCTGAGTGTATCCAAACCCAACGCTATAGGGAGGATTTGACGTGTGCTGAATGTGGCGCGGGTTTGGTAGTTTCCGTTGGAGCGGATTTTCCTTTTTGGCGCTGGAAATAGAAACTCAGAAGGGGCTTGGCGCGTTGGTTGGCCATCTAGGCGAGATGGCGACAAGACGGCTGGAGGGAGATCCGTGGGGTTTGCTTGACAGCGAGGACTAGGTTTGTGGTTTTCTTGGGGGTTTCTTTTCTTTTTTCTCTCGGGTTGGTCGAGTTGCGTGAAAGTGGAGGGAAGGGGAGCGCGGCGGTGAATTGTTTCAGAGAGAGACAGAGAGACAGACAGAGGGAGGATTGAACGATCAATTCAACGGGGTATTGTACGTACGCTGATTCGGCTGCCAAACCGTTTCCCGTTTCCAGTTTCCAGCGAGTCCCTGTTGGGCGGGTCGGGCTTAGGGCTTAGTCAAGCGGATACGCACTAGAAACACAGCCTCAAATTCCCTTGGCGAGAGGTGGCTGCACTGCAACCATCAAACCCTCGGGTCTGATCCTCAGCTTACACCGTCCAGCATCCCCAGCCTCACCTCACCATCTCACCAGAAGCAACATTCATAAATAGGCTGTCGGGTTCTTGCTCTGCGAACTCTGTCCATCCGTCCATCCTGCCCTACGATCCTCTCCCGTCCCTTGGGTACTGACGACGTTTGGGTTGTTTTGATCGCAGTGAGGGAAATATTCGATCGTTTCTTGTTAATTGCAACCACCAACTCTGTTCCGTAGCGGGTCGAATATCGTTCGCTTTTCTTGACTATCGTTCGAGCGGTTTTTGCGCATTTCGAGAGCGTCGGTTGGTTGATTGACTGCGAAGATGGGCAAAGCGGCGAGATTCGCGTGTATCTTCACGCCGATGCTCTTGACGTTGGCGTCGTTGATATGCATCGTACTGGTCGGGTTGGGCGGCACGAACAAGAGCATGGCCTCTCTCGATTCTCTCTACTTCTTCAAGGTGAGCATCCGCTTCTAGGGATCGTCATCGTTACGCAAACAGCACAAACAGCCCAAACTAACGCTCCCGATCTCTAGGCCGATACGTCCAACTTCACGGACGCATCACATCTTGATCTAATCAAGGGAACAAACATTGACGATAACCTCCTCAAGACCGGGCTCCAAGACGCAGCTGACGGCATGAAGCTCAAAGACTTCTACACCGTCGCCCTCTGGAACTACTGCAGCGGCACCAAAGACAGCCACACGGGTTCTCTGACGTTTGATTATTGCGGGAAGCCCAGGGCGTCGTATTGGTTTAATCCGCTGGAGGTCTGGGGTCTCAACGAGACTGGTGGTGCGGGGTTGGCGGGCCAGTTCCCTAAGCAGGTTAAGACGGCCATGAAGACTTACCAGAACGTTGCGAGGTGGATGTTTATAGCGTATGTGTGCGCATTCGTTGTGACGCTGGTGGAGTTTATCGTGGGGATTTTCGCCGTGTTGAGCCGGTGGGGAAGCTTCGTGACGACGATTTTATCTTGTGTAAGTTTTTTTTTCCCCCGAATCCCACCTTTCTCATCAAGAGAATAATAGAAACGGCCACTAACCCATTCTGTTTCCATAGGCTTCCTCGATCTTGATCATCCTCGCGTCCATAACTTCTACAGCCCTCTACGCATCCATTGCAGCATCCTTCAACACAGCCCTCAAATCTTTCGGCATCCACGGCTCTCTCGGCCACTCCATGCTCGTCACAACCTGGCTCGCCGTGCTCTTCTCGTGTGGAGCCGGCTTCTTCTGGCTCTTCAGCACCTGCTGCGTCTCGGGCAAAAGCCAGACCAAACGCGTGAAAGTCGAGAAGGCACCCTACACGTACGAGAGGGTCGCGAGCCCGTATTTGGGTCAGAGCGGGAATCACGAGCACGGCCATCGGGGCGTGGAGAGCCACAGCATGCAGGATTTGGGGGCTACGGGGAAGAAGTCAGGGAGGGACGAGGCGTACGAGCCGTTTAGGAATACGGCGGTTTGAACGCGCGGAATGGCTAGCTGAAATATTACTCTTACCTGTCCATCTTTTGTTTTATCCAGATACCTTCATCCCCCCCCACCCCACCCCCTACTGGAAGTTGGGGAAAGATTTAAGCAAACATCGACGGAACTTGGGGTGGGCTCTAGGGCGGGGGGGGGGGAAAGGGTCCAAATCAAGTCGGGCGTTCTTGGGGGGGTTTTAATTTCCTTAGTTGCTTTATCTGTTCATATATTAATACGACGGCATGAAAGTTCCTCCCTCCCGTGACCCCTTGGGCAAGAAAGAGAGCCAAACCCACTCCTCTCCAGCGGAAACATAGCTTCGAACAAACCGCGCGCATTCCACGGGATACCCCCCGCCTGTCTGGCCGATAGGGGACGAGAGAGAGAGAGGGAAAGGAAGGAAGTAAGTAAGTCGAGCGAGACCGGGGTGACACGGCGCGTGTATATGTATGTATGTATATATATATACCACGGTTTGCGCACAAGGACTCTTCGAACCCTCGCACGCATGTCGTGTCATGTAGAGCCGCGACCTCACGTAAGCGATCGCGAAACCCCGTGGCGCGGCGGGCCAGATATATACATCATATACATGTACATGCGCATGCATACTAAAACGGGGTCTCGGAGGGGGTTTTTTTTTTTTTTTTGGGGGGGGGGGGGGGTTTTGGGGT